TACCTTGTCTGACAATTCTTGTCTGACACTGCGTTTCTGCGACAGAATTGGATTACGACTCATTACAACTATAGACGTTTCTTTGTAGCACACACACACAAGAATTCATCGGATAGAAATATTCGTTGGATGGGAAATGTAAAAATAGGGACTAATGCGCATGTGCACTGACTATTATTGTACGTACCAAAATAATCAGTCTTCATGCGTATTGGAAAAATGCATTGTTTCCCCTAACGAATACGCAATGTGTCTAATTCATGATAGTACAATAGATGTTGATAGTACAATAGATGTTGAAACTATTTTTCGTACTAGGAATATATATATATATATATATATATATATATTTTAATTTGTTTAATTAAACACTTTGTGATAGAGAAATGTCATTACACGTTCAACAAAAGTATTTTTCAATACACAATTAACACGTGTAAATGTGAAGAAAAAAACTACATGGAAATGAACACTTTTCAAAGGTACTCAACATGCAAGACAAATGCAACGTTCTGAAAACATCCTGTTGTACGTACGGTCATATGTTTTTTCTTTCTTCATGGTGATTCAGATAAAAGAGGCAACTCTAAGTGGAATATCGTATGAATCTGTTAATCGGAAACTCATCACGCATTCGTCATTATGTACGCAATTCACGACACATGGCACGCAATTGTTCATGCCAGAGTTTTGATACATGGTGACGTATTGAGAGCATCTCAATGGATTCCTTGTAATACATGCAACATACTGAGAGTACAAGCAACACTTTACCGGTAAGCATCGACTTTCTTTTTACAAAGAATAATTCATGCCAAGAAATCAGGCCATGGTTGGCATGGCAACATTCCCTCAAGGTTGTACAAATTACACTTGCTGTTTTTGTTATCAACGTTATGAATGTACATTTATCGTTCACCTTTGCCATTTTGATTTCTATTTCTCCATGATGATTTTGAATCGTACAAAGGGTTTCGAGGGATTCAATAAATCATGATCCTGCAGTCTTAATGACTATGAATACACTGCCCATATTAAAATTAATTACAAAAAAAGAAACGAAAGTACTTTTTATTTCCAGTGGGAACATTGTGAGGTATTCGATAACGCACGCACGGTTATAATTGCGCGTTTATGGTCTATTGGTACTGACAATACTGTCGAATGGGGGCGCTCGTTCGAGATGGAATTCATGATTGCATTAGGTGGGTAATAGGAGTCAGCTGCTATTAACACTACAAGTCAGCGAGGAATTTAACATGAAAAGACCCCCAATGTTTTCAAACGGTCATCCCTGAATCCTCAAAAGAAAAGAGGTCATCGCAAAATATATGCACAATCATGAATGTATATAATAACATACATTGCAATACACATGGTCCATATCATTATACAAATTGCAACATACACAATGTATATAATAACATACATTGCAATACACATGGTCCATATCATTATACAAATTGCAACATACACAATTTTATATAATAACATACATTGCAATACACATAGTCCATATCATTATACAAATTGTAACATACAATATGTATGTAATTACATACATTGCAATACACATGGTCCATATCATTATACAAATTGCAACATACACAATGTGTATAATAACATACATTGCAATACACATGGTCCATATCATTATACAAATTGCAATATACACAATGTATATAATAACATACATTGCAATACACATGGTCCATATCATTATACAAATTGCAACATACACAATGTATATAATTACATACATTGCAATACACACGGT